GGCCAGGATGCCATTGGCCTTCCAGGCCACCAGTGGTCTTCTGGGCACACTGCTGGCTCACATTCAACTGGTTGTCAAGCAGCAATCCCAGATCCCTCTGCTGGGCCACTCCCCAGCCACCCTTCCTCGAGTCTGTAGCACTGCAGGGGGCTATTGTGGCCAATAATCCCACACATGTGGCCCCTACTCAGCAAGTTCAGCTGCGAGAACCAGTACGTCCCACCCCAGTGTCACCTACAAGTGAGGGATCTGCTGGGCAGCAACACCTCCTCAGTGATGGCCTGGGCTCTGCTGGAGGACCATGAGGAAGTCAAGGTGTGGCACCAGGCACCTAGGCCCTTTCCTCAGCCTCACCCCAGGCTTTCAGCTTGCTCACCCCAGCAACGATCTTGACAGCTTTTTCTTCTACCGAAGCTGCAGGGAGGCAGCCAGTCTTTGCTCTCTCTCCTGGAACATGAAGTCAACACGCTTGAATTTACAGTCAGTGGGATTACTCACCTCTGCCAGGCCAGATACTTTTCAGCTTTGTCTGCAAGACCAGTCCCATTACTACCACTTACAGCATTTCACTGCTCACAGATGCACTCAGAACTGCTTCAGTGAAGACAGAGCCCTGCACCAGCACTGCCTTGTTGGACTAACAAAATCAAATTAAAAATACTTGTGATAATAGCGGTGCTTTTGGGGTGAGATGGTTGAACAGGGGAGGCTGAAGCAGCACTGGAATGATCCCGTGTTCCTGCAGGGCACTGCTGGGAAAGAATCATCCTCTGGGAGGAAACTAGAGTTAGCAATTCCCATTCTTTTTTTTTTTTTTTCTTCTTCTTCTTTCCTGAGGCATAAGACAATTTTAAGAGACTGCCGAGTCCACGTCCTACCTAGAACAAAAACTGTCTTCTGCAGAGACTGTCACTTCTACCCTCACACACCCTTTTTCCTCCAGACAGCTCATCTTGACACTGAATACAAGGGACCAAGAAAACCCCGTTTCTAAACATTGTTGGCCTTTGAAAGAAAGATAGGGATCAACGTCTCGCACTTGTTCTGATGCTGTGGCTTGGCTATTTAAAGCTTCTGCACAGCTTGTCCCCTTGATGTGGCCCACAGGTCTTTGTGCAAGCAGCATCTCTGACCTTCGCTGGCTCCGTCAGGCAGCCTTGCACACACCGTGTGCTACACGGGACCCACTGCAGGTGGCCTCCCGGAGAGGTAGACCCCTGGGCTTGGTCTCTGCATCATGTTCCTTCTTCATGACTCTCCTTCAGGGCAGAGGGACATAAAAAGCAGCAAGAAGGCAAAAAGCCCTCAGGTTCAAGACTTACAGGAAAATACAGATTCTTTCATATCTCGGTTTTGCCCTCAAGCTAAACTTAACAGATTTGCAACACAGAGGATGGGACAACGCAAGACAGTCTGCAGCAATTGCAACTACTTTTGTAAGTGCATGTACCTCTGCTTGGGTTGGTTTTTACCCTCTGTGTCCAGAGGAGTTTCAGCTGCAGTCAGAGAAACCAGGAGAAAATGCATTTTGTTCTTAGCCTTAGGGCAGCACTTTTTTTTAGAGGTGACACTGCTCCTACACAAAGGCCAGCACCTCCTCTGTCAGAGGAACAAAAGATGCTGCTCTCCTGAGCCTGCTGGATCATAGCCACACAAAACTTCCCACAGCCACCCCAGTTTCACCAGCAGTTGCCTTGAACAGTACCATAACCTGAAGGTATTTAAGCAGAGATCATACCATTACGTCTTGCACATTCCACGCGCTTTATTTCAATCCCTGTGAGTTAACACCAGATTCTCCCGCATTTGGGCCAAGCACGTGCATCCTGGCGGCTGTGGCACACGCTGGCTCTCAACTCCATCTCTTCAATTTCTTCCCAACACTGGCCCTATTTACACTGCATATTGATTACAAGACCTGGAAAGGGAGGATAAATCGTCTCCTCCAGCTGAAGACAGAGGGAAGGAAAAACTCTTTGCTACCAAGAGGAGGAAACGTGCTGATGCTCAGAGGCTAGAAAGAAGGAGCAGGACCAACCTGTGAGCTCAGGAGTGGTACAGGGAGGTGCCACGAACACGTTGGCACATGGATAATCCTCCATATAGAGATTTAGAAGCACCTGCTGCTACTCCTTTGGCACAAGAAGAAAAAAGCACAGCCCTGCCTGAGAATGATCAGCACAGCCCTAATTCTTTAGGCTCTTACACGTGCTCAGCTTTCAAACATGCAAACAGTGCACACGGGCCCCACATTTTGTGAAAGGGGGGAGAAAGGGAACATGCACTCCACAGGCATCTCACGGATTGTATTAATTGCCAAACCAAGCCTATTTCATTAGGAAGAGTAGGGAAATGGATAGGGAAAGGGAAGGAAGATGGAATGACACAGATGACTGCAAAAAAATTTACAAGTAAAAATATGCTTTCTCCCTTAAGCAATGGCCACAAGGGTCAGCCACACCACACGAATATCCCAAGCCACAGCAGCAGGGGAGCAGTATATTTTAAAACACAAATCAGCCGCACACTGCCATTGACACCTGGACTGGAAAGAAGAAGTAAAGGGGAGCACACCTTGTCCCTCTGACCCGTTGGCAGAAGTGGGTAAAGCATTCCCCAGGCCCAGAGAAGCAGGGGCAGCAGCAGCAACGTAGCCCCCCTCCTGCAGAGGGCTGAATGCTATCAGGCAGGAGTCACAGTCCAATAAAATAAAATAAAATAAAATGCACAACTGGGTTGATCCTGACGAGCGTGCTTCAGGGCCTCGTGTTAGTCTTGGCACACCCTTCCCAGCATGCCCACAGTGGAGAACTCTTTTCTTCAGAGCAGCACTAACTTATTCTAGCACAAGTACCTGCCCTGCCCACCAGAGAGTCACTTCATGAGGAGTAGAAAAAACCAAAAATTTAGCAGGATTTGTCTGAGTTTATGAAAGCAGAAGGAAGGACAGACCTCCTACAGGGAGGGGAGGGGAAAAAAAAAGGGAAGAAAAAGAAAAAAAGGACATGTCTGTATGGGCTTCGAGGTGCTCTCCCATCACGCAGCTCTGAGTTCTCTGCTGATAACAGTCCTGTGTGGAGGACGAGGAGGGAAGGGCACAGTAGCACATCTCATCTCTTACAGTTGGTGGAGGGTTTGTAAGAGCATGTGGCGAGCAAAGGAACAGGAGTCAAGAGCACGATTTGGCCTGTGGAAAGAGGAGAGAGAGATATATTTAAAATACTAAATCTAAGAACTGCTTTGTATCTGACTTTGAATGACCCAATAAACACTATTTCAAACTTGCTGGGCTTGCATGCCCTGAAGCCAAAGTAGGTGGAGGTGGAACTCCCTTTCCCTCTCTTCTGGCACTCGGCTTCTCCATATAGATCCTCTGCTCAGGGCCCCAAAATGCAGAAGAAAAGCCTGCTCATACTCAAATCTTTTCTCGCCAAGTCACTTGCTGTCTAATGACCTGATAGTGACTTTGGTCTCAGGCTTTTCAAGTCTTTAATAGAGGCAACGTAACCTCCTGCCCTCCTCACCCCTGAGGTCAGGTAACACCTGACTGGTTTTGCTGGGTGTCTCAGGAACAGCCCAAGGAACCTGCAGAGCATCATTTGGAAGGGCCTGGCACCGGGATTGCAATAGCGAGGCCTGCCTGCCTTACGCAGAACAACCCAGTCCTTGAAAGCGCACGATGGAAATACACAACCACAGCAGGGTTAACAGGGGAGCTAAATCTCCCAAACTTTCCCACTGCCTCTCAGTAACACATATTTCTGTTTCCACAGGTTAACTATTCTCCAAGCGTCACAAAAGCTTTTAATGATCTATATATCCATCCATTCAGGAACTGCCTTTGAAGAAGTTTAATCCAACGTTTTCCACTGTTCTGAGAATGGAAGTCATTAGTTTTACCTCTCTCCCATCTCACCATAGGCAAACTAATAACAAATGGCAGTGAGGTCTACTTGATTTGGGAAAGAAAGGTGAGCTGAACTAAGGACTGGAATATCTTGGCAGGTGCCAAGGAGTTAATATCTGGATTTACAGCACGTGGGTAATAGCTGCAGAGGTGTTTGGTACAGAGCTTCACTATCTGCTGCAATTTATCAGAAGCACATCCCGGAGCAGAATTAACTCCTTTTTTCCCCCCAAGAGTGATCCAACACTCCACACACTGAACACACAGAAGGCAATTACAACTTGGAGTTTATCTTCAGAGTGGCCACGTGAGGTATTTCACTCATTTTAGGAAGACCCAGCCCTGCTTCCAAGGAGCACACTGTTTCTGCCTAGGCAGTGACTTGTGTTTTGGGAATAAAGAGAACCTGAACTGCTGGTGCTGATCACAGCCGAGCACCCTCAGTCTCTACTCCTAATACCAAACCTCCTCTAACACTAAGTGCACCTCCCTACTTGCTGTGGAGTTACATCGCCCACTGCTCTGGGCTACAGCCTGTTGAAGTTATGTAATCCAACCTAACAGCAAAAAGCAGGAAAAAACCCACAACTCACCCCAAAACTCTAAAAAAACCCCAACCGTTATTTAAAAAAAAAAAACCAAAAAAGCCACCACCACCTCCAGCAAGTCACAAGCAGGCAGGCAGACATCCACATACTTTCAGTGTTTCCACCTAAAAAAATTGCGGAAAAGCAAATGTAGCTTCACAGCACCCTCTTGCGTCCAAAAGAAAGAAAATAAGGACTGACGGCAGCAGAGCAAGATGGCTGCTGCTTACAGTCCATATCTATAATTTATTATTTTTGAATGAAGAGCACTACCTACGATCACAAATTGTCACAAAAGAGAACAATGACTACTCCAGAAGTCCCTGGCAGCAAAACGCAGCAGAGCTCTCGCTTTGGCAGCTACAAGAACTTTAGAGCTCCAGAAGCCCAAAAGAGCTACCTGCAATTCTAAAGGAAAAAAAAAATCTAGAGTATCACAAAAGCTCACACCAGTTTGCCGCAAGTGAAGGACGCAGGGATTTGACACAGGGGAAGTGCATACGTTGCAGAAACAGAGCCAAAAAGAGCTCTGCAGATTGCTAGGTTAACCAGTTAGAGGTCTGATTTGAGGTTAGGATGTGATTTTGTCTGGAATTCCAAGAAAAGACAAGGGGCGCAGGTTAACGAGAAGCTGTTTTAATGGACTCTGTCACTGTTCTCTCCAGGCAGCTCTAAAGGATTTAATAGCTGTTCTCGTTCCCTTAGGGAAAGCATTTTAAGAACTATATGCACTTAGAAGACAGAAAAGCGTATCGCTTGTATATACTGTTGCCTTCCTTATGCTGCACAGGACATAAGTTTCCCCAGGATAACATCACACCTTGCAACAGAGGGGTTTGCAAATCAGAGAAAGCTTTGGCTCCGAGAACTTCACGTCACCAGGGATGTGGCCCCCTTGGCATTAGCAGCCTTGCACACCAGGGGCAGGCACACAGATCCGCCTTCTACTGTGAGGTGCTCTTGCCTCTCACACAACTTTCATAGAGAGTCTTCGAACAATCTCAGAAAGAGATTTCCCCCCTCTTGTAATGCAGTGCTGGCTATGGATTCAATGGAATTTTTGGTGATGAATTCATTAATACCAGAGTTTTATTCTTATTTTATCACATACAGTATCATCTAAAGATGAAAAATATTTATTGGCATTTTGCAGGCCTGGAGCCCAGGAGAGGTCTACATACATACAAGGAGAGGGGGACAAGTGTCTTTTGCGAGCAGATTTGTTTAGAGAGACATGGCAGGTGGAGCTATGGGGCTACTCTAGGCACTGGAATCTGACACAAACAATTAGAAAGGTCTAATGCACTGAACCAGTGTCCCCTTTTCTGTATTCTCAGCTTCAAGTGATTTAAATCCCCTGTTTGGAGGGCTGGGGCTGATGGACATTAAGTGGTACCTGTTTCGCTTAAGCTGGGTCTTTGCATAATTAGTGCCTGATGAAGTAAGCCAACATTTTCTTCATCCGTTTATTTTAGGGCTGGTATCAGATCCTTACGCTGCACGTACCTACTTGATACTGCTCCAGCGGAAAGGCCTCCAGGTTAGCATTTGCACACACGTAAACAAGCAGTTACACAGCTTCATTTTCCAAAACTAACCTTAGCGTGGCTGGTTGCCGGGCACCTGCCACTACAACACATCAGCTTGTACAGCTTCAGCCACACTGATGTTTGGCATAAATTCTCCCCGTCACAACCAGCCTGCTTCCAATGCCAGTGCAACTAAGAGAAGACTGAGTACTGGTACCTGACTGCACATCCTTATTGCCCATGTTTCGTACTGACCCCAAGTATTCGACGCCTCTGCCTTTCAGCAGCAGGAGATCCCAAGCTTCAGCATATTCCCCACACTAGGAAAATCAGGAAGGCTTAAGCCTTGTTCTGGAACCTGATAAAAAGCTGCTCTCACCCTACATGGCACACAGTCCACGTTGAGTCAAAGAGCCACCAAGTTCCAAATGGATTTCAGATCTCTGCTAGTTTTGCTTAGTGACAATTTTGGACTGTTTCTCCTCTTGGCCGCTCAAGTCCTCGCTCTCTTGAGGAAAGGACTATTTGAGGTGTTTTTCTAAACCACATCGGCGCTAAAGTTCACACTGATTTAATCCAGAAGAGATACAGCTACCACTGCTATTGCATTCTCTATGCTTTAAGACGTTATGGAAACTAAAGCAGGTAGGGGCAGGAGTTGATTCTATATCTATACTATAACAATAGAGGCAGCAGCTTCTTCAACACTTATGCTCCCAATTGAGTTCTCAGAAAAAAATCCTTGTTGCTGTCAGTGTAGGAAGTTTCATTCAGAATGACTTCAGTCTTTGTGCTGCTTTGATCTGCTGGTGTTCAGTGTTACGCAGCATGATGATTCAGGGAGAGCTCTGCTGACCCCTCATTCTCAGAAGGATGAGCTGTAGGGCACAGTTAGATCCCACATACTCACAGTTAACTTGAGCAGTGGATAGAAACCCAGCAGATTTCCTTCAGCTCAAAACACCTTTTCTGTGACTGACATCAGTCTCTGCTTCAGAGTCAGTTAGTTGCAAAGCCACCTTTCCATCACTTTTTCTTTAGAATCAAGATTTTTTTACTCTAAACCTTACATTCCAGAGTAAGCAAAATAAAAGTAGAGGCCTATCAAACTATTAATCCTTAATTTCAGAACAGATATTTACTGGGCCTTAACAGAACCGCTCGGACGTAGCTATTAATTCTCACTTTTCCTCGCTCCTGTGGAAAAGACTGCAAAGCACATACAATACTCACTTTGTGACAAAAGCAGAGAGAACTGGAGCTAGGGATTTGGGGAAGTAATCTTGCTGGACCATATGGTTCAAGGTCATAAGAATACCATAGAGGCTTGGGACAGCTTTGACCTTCTCTTCACTCTGAGAAACGGAGAAGAAAAAGGAAGTCAGACATCAGACAACTGCTATTTTATCTAATCCACTCTAGTTCACAGAGGGCAATGAATTCTCCGTCAAATGAAGTGTTGCCATACACTGCAGGAGAGAAAGCTGCTCCCTAGACTAAGTGCAATGTTGCTCAAGACAAACGCAGCCAACTTGAGAGCTTCCCAGCACCAGCATCAACAACATTCTAGTACTTACCAGTTAGAACTTAGTCAGTGACAGCAGCAACAATGGGGAAAAGAGAAGTAATTAACTTGCAAGTGAAACAGCCAAATCCTCTCAGAGGCCCTGTGTCAATGGGTTCTCCTAAGGAATTCCACCAGGCTTCAATTCATAAAGAATCCAGTTGCCTTAATCACACAAAATTTTATTACAGAATAATACTTCTGTAGCTCATTTTTCTACTGTCTCCAGGTCTTCAGCAGGCTTTGTCCAGAACCTGATGTAGTACTTCCAGAACTCATCTCTCAATTACATCCAAGATAAAGCTAAAAATAGTCATCTCTATAGTTGCTCCCCCACTTACTCGATGCACAAGTTACTCTTGCTCCCAATGTGGTGTTAAACTACATGTACCTGCTCTTATTTTGTTTTCATCTATTTCTCCACTGCCATCCCAACTAAAGCCCTTTGCTTCATAGGCAGGATCTGGACCTGTGTTCCTACATGACCTTGCATTTCATGGTGCTAAGGATACCTGTTGTTCATGTGCTTCCAGCTACATGGGTCAGGAAGCAATGGAAGCTGCTCCCTCTCCACATACACCAAATTCATCAACAGTCCTCTGTATCTCACAGGACAAACAATCATCTGGCTGATGCTCAATGTTTTTATTATCAATGCCACTTCTTGGTCTGAAAGAGTTCTTGTGGAACACAAGGTCTGTGAGTTGTGCCTCATGCATACTTGCTATTTTCTGTACGGGATAAAAGGTGGGTGGCTGTCCTGAAACCAGCATTCTGCCGAACACAGAGCCGTCTCTGGTTTTGTTGAACTGTCTGAGAAGTGGGAAGCTCAGCATTGGTCCATTGCACGTGAGGGAAAGGCTAAACTGATCTTTAGGAAAATAAGATGGGTCCAAGCATATCAACAGCTCTCTGCACTCACACTGGGTGTTACCAAAAGGAAATCTACAAACCTAATTAAGAGCAGGCTGCTAAAACAGACATTACAATTATTCTGTAGTTTATAACTGGTTTGGTCCAAATTTCTGTTCTCAACTTCCAGGTCTTGAGGCGGCAAGAAACATTAACCCTTGCAGCACAAGTAGGCAAAGGAACTTTTTAAGTTTGCAGTCAGAACCTCTCCCTGGTCACCTCACTGAAAGTAAAGCTACAGGTATTCTAACGCAATTTGCAGGTTTCCTACTGACCCTCCATCCTTCCTTATGAGAAACTTTATTTCATGTAACTACGTTTGACTCCAGTATTTGGCAAAGACACTCCAAAGCATGAACACTACTGATCTAGCATGAGTAGCTGGATATATGTTTCTGAGCCATGCTACTAAGAGGTGCCCTAAGGAATCACATTAGCTAATAATATTGTAGATTAGACTCCTAGACATGGCTTTTTATAGACACCACAGTCCAGCAGCAGCACTATTTCCTTACCCAACCCTCCTTACCTTTAGGTAAGAATGCAGAGCACATCAAGCAGATGAGGTACAAAGAGCTGACACCCCCTTCATCCTAATGCAACCTTGCAATTTGCCATTTCTGCTGGACCTGCAGACTTCTATTGTCCCTGGGCACTGGGCATGCAAAGGCACCCAGCTGCTTCCATGGCAACATAATTACCCAAAACCCAGTAGATCTGGTCTTCAACAGCCTAAACAGACCATAACTTAACTCTTTCCTGCTTCCTCACCTTAAGTAATCCCATGTGGACCAAGAGGCTTGTGACGAATGCATCCGAATTAAATGTGGCAGAAGTGAAAGCTTTTCTCATCAAGGCATCTAAAAAGAAATAAATGCATCCTATTAAACATCACAGAAAGGGATGCTTTTATGGATTTTAAGATCAAGATGGATCATACAGGACCTCAGTATCTATCAACTGTTAGAGTTTTGACAGATTATATCTGTTAAGATTCTAGTTGTCTACAGGGGAACTAGGTAAAATCTCTGAAACATCAAAAAAATCCAACAAAAACTGCAAAGAAACCCCCAAATTCCGACTGCCAAGTTTCAGATGCAATTTGACCTCAGTCTCACGCACCACAAAACACTCTACTAAATGCACGTGAACATGCATGCTGTGATGCTGTGTACATACATGCATATATATATGATCAGATAAAGTAGAGCAGCAAGAGTTAGTCTTGGCATTTTAAAAGGCCAGCAAGAATTTACTTCTTGCTTGAGACAACAATGAACGAGAACATGAGAAAACTTGCTCAGCTGTTTTCTGGGCTCCCTCAGGAGCTACAGGCAAACCAGTGCTTTAGCCTCTCATATCTACAAGGTAGGCAAATCACCAATTTCTGACCATCTGAGTTTCTTAGAATGGGCAGAACTCACTAGAGTGGCTGTAAAACAGCATCAGACATGAACCAGGGACCGCATTGTTAGCTGATGGTTACTTTTCTGGAAGGAAAGTAATTGTCCCTAAGGACAATTTCCCTGAGGAGCAGGAGTGGTATGGAACTGCGATCGAGACAAATACATACACAAGCACACTTCAGGCAACAGGAGTCTCCTGTGCTCCAGTTTTTGTTGGAGACGACTCACAACGGGCAGGAGTCAAGGCCAGCAGTAGCCTCAGTGAGCTGCCAACTGACCATTTTTGGCTGATTGGACCCATAACCAACTGCAGGAAACTCTATTATACTACAGACAACAGGTTCAGTTTCACCATGTCTATATATTCCAAACAAAGGCATTCCAGACTAGGGAGATGCACATTCATTTGCTGCAAGAATTTTTAAGTGATTTTAAAAATAATTGTTCCAGTTCTTTTGCACAATATCGATAAGTAGCTCATGCATAGGGGACCTGTACTGAGGAGGGGTTGAAAATGGTAAGTCAGTGGTCAGATGCCCAGGAGAGTTTGGGAATTCCCATTTCCAAGTGAAAACATGAAGGGTTAGTCCACCCAAAATTCAGATCTGACTTGAATCACTGCTCCACAATACACAGTCCCTTGCCTGTACATTAGCTTCTGTGCTTTGTCCCATGTGGCAAATCTCTGCTTCATGAAATTAGATGTTTCAGAGTGATAAGAAGAGACATTAAGAGGCCACTCTTCTCAGTCTCTTAGTACTACACTGTAAAGGCTACTGTCTGCAAAACACTTTTTATTTTAAAAGCCCTGAGAAAGTAACTATGCTCAGAACATACAACTACTGGCCTTTGTCAGCCAAGCGTCAAGGAAATCCAGTAAGGGCAGCACAGGTCTACTGAGACAGCCACTACAACAGCCACTCCTCATAAAACTTTGGAAACACAAGATATGCTAAGTTCAGAACAAATCTCTACTTTCACTCCACGCAACAGCAAAGCACAGCTTAGTACTTTGTTTTCAGGATTTTCCTGCTGCCAGGGACAGAGAATTCAATGCCTGGCCCACAGGGGCGTTTCTCTGCATCACGCTGGTGTTCTCGACACTGAATCAGGTCACTCCACGAAGTGAAGAAAAGTCCAGTCACCTGTTGTTTCATGCACTGCTGTTTTCACTGGAGCTTCATCCTTGAAGACCGAGGATATCCTTAGGAGAGTTGTAACTACTTTCTCTACATCAGCTGTATCTGTCTGAAAGACAAGTTTAAAGAGAAAAAAAAGTCAAAAAACAAAATCAAGGGCCATTCACTTTACTGCTCATCAGCTAAAGAAGATGTGTCTCTGCTAGGAATGTGACAAGAATTACAGCCTTCAGCTGACCAACACCAGCTCTGCCTTGGCTGTATCACAAGGTGTAAGCAACACTGTGGAACAAAGTTAGTCTGTGTAGAAGCTCTGGTGCCAGTGTAAGCGTGAACTGCATCATCTGCTTCCATAAGTTTCCTTGGGATCCCTGAGGAGAAGATACAAGTCTAAGTCTCAAGAAAATTATCACCTCTGGGGATTAAAAAAAGATTCTGAGAGAGAATCAAGCCCAGTACTGGCTCACCTACCTGCTGGGCTATCAGCACAGAGCACTTTGGTCCTAGTCGCAGCAGCTTCTCTGGTGATGGGAAAGCAAGGAATGTGGCAACATCCACAGGAGGAGATGGCACTGTAGTTGAATCCTGAAACAGGCAGAATCCATCTCAAGTTTACTCTTGGAAGTAAATAAATCAGTTCAGCAGCAGAGGCCCATAGGACAGGTCAGGACAGAGGTACATCAGGTCAGGATTTGTTCTATTTGAAAACTACTTGAGGCCAGAATGAATCCAGGGTTGGAAGAGCCAGAATATGGCAGCACGACTGCATATGGCACTGCACGTACAAGGCTCCCACCGTTTTCCAGACATGGGAAGACCTTTTCTACCCATGTTTGCTACAGCCTTCTCCTCCACACAGGTATGCACGTGCATGTTTTAACACAATGCGTTTTCAAGTCCTCCATTGTCTTTTCTTCCTGCACACTATCTCTCCGACTGTTACCACAGCGCCAGCCCGTGCAGGAACACAAACATCTGCCAGCACTTCAAGTTCAGACTCACTCCAGATCTCATTTCTATCCTGACTCTCCTCCAGCTGATGGCACATGAAGGCATCGGGAAATAAGCTTACCTGTGAATCAATTCTCTTCTTAGGAGTCAGTGACTCTTTTTCTTCCTGTCCTCTCTCCTTCAGCTGTTGCTGTTCCTCCTCGTCCTCTTCCTCCTCTTCATCTTCATCCTCCTCCTCCTCTTCTTCATCCTCCTCCTCCTCCTCCCCTTCATCATCACTAAAGTTCGAGAATTACATATCACGTTAATTGCACACTCGCACTTCTTGTATGCTGGAACTCAAAACATTCTTCTAGAACCAAAAAGCAGCCTCCCCTCAAGTCTTACTGCAAGAAGTACATTTCCATGCACAGAGTTAAGAAGATGCTCATGTTTCAGTCATCCGCAAGCAAAGCATGAAGAATGCAATCAGTAACCAAGACTAAGATAAACCCATCGATGAAAACAAGACACATGGCTTATCCTGCTCATGGAAACCTTTGTCTGTTGCTCCATGCTGCACACTCAGGCCAACACCCATCTGCAGTATCACAATTTTTATTTTAAAACAGACAGGTGAATGGAAATGTTAATGAAAACTGTCAGAAAAATTCCGATTTAAACTCTGGTACCCTGCGTACCTCAAGGATCCCAGCACAGCTCCCATATTGAAGCCTTCAAGGATCTCCTGGAGCTGCTCGCACCCCTCTTCTCCCAGACAGTTCCCTAGGTTGACAGGAGAAAGGGAGCAAACTTAACAAATGTGCACAAGTCTGTTCATTGAGGATTTCGATGTAGATTCTCGTCTATCTCTTCTTTCTGAAATTGAGTATCAGCCATTTCTAGAGAAGCCCGCAGAGGCAGCTACGCAGCCTTTGGTTATCAGAAACAAACAGTTGTTGAACAGATTTCAGCAGCATTAGGCAATGGCTGGAGACAAACAAACCTCCTCATTTTTCAGACTGTCTTTGAGAGACTTCCTGCCATTTATTTCTATAAACAGTTCTTGTTGTCAGTGCTTCCAAAAGAAGGACACACAGCACAGTCAGTACCACTGAAACGCAGTGACCCAGGGTACGAAGAGCAAAAGCCAACATCGGTCAAAGTTCTCTCGCTCTTTCACAGAGATGTGCACAGAGGGTTTTGTTTGCAAGTATGAAATAACTGAGATCAAAACGAACAGCTGAAAAAAAGTTTAACTAAAACAGGTATAGGTATCAATTTAATCTTCCCAACTTACAACATGTACTGAAACTGCTTAACTTTAACAATTAACTAAATTCATGGCTTAAGAAAGCTGTCAGATAGAACTGCTTCCTGTCCCGAGGTCATCTAAGTTCAGCTACTCTCAGAGAACCATTTTTTTAAATGCTGACAAGTGCAAGTCTAGAAGATGTGATACGGTCAACATTCTTCCTGGTGGTTTCTAGTTGGCCTTAGACAACACATACTTTGATCAAGCAAAATCTACGTACCATTGAGATCCAACTTCTCTAATCCTGCCTTATCTTCAATAGCTTCAGCAACAGTCAGAGCAGCATCTCGTTTGATCTCACAGAAGGACAAATTCAATTCCTAAGAAGCACAACAACATTTGTTTGCAGAACTCCTATTAACATCAATCATCCCCATAAGCTTCATGTGCTCACAAATGTGGAAAGACTCTCATTTGAAGATGGTCTCAGCAAAAAAAGTATTTTTAATTGAAAATAAAACCTGACAGATACTGCTCCCGTCATACATCTAAAAGGGGCATTTTGAAACACCATATTGTTAAGGGCAGCGCTACTGAAGGTAACCACTTTACTAAAACAGTCACAGAGACCATGCTGTTCTGACTGCTCACCTAAATGGTAACAGACATTTCAGTCCTTAGCAATTGGCTGTCTGGGGATCTTCGCTTATCTGAGGGTCACAAGAGCATTTCAGAATTCACACACCAGTAAGTCCTACTGAAGAAGGGTAGCCACTATGCCAAAAGGACTTGCACACTCTCTTTCGAACACTTAGGTTGGAAGTTAAGGCCTTCAAAAGGCAAACTACAAGTGGGCACTACCTCTGATAAACACAGCCAGTAGAGAAACAGTGTGGACAGACTTGCAAGAGTAAAGTTGTTCAACTGCCAGGCACCATCCCCCACCATTCCACATCATACTCAATCACCCCTTTCCTGAGACGAGATTTAATATTAACAGCAAAAGGGAAGCAGTCCTTGAAATGAATGCATCAGCTACGACTGCTTCATGCTACCCTCCCTTAATCACTTCTGCTCTAGAAAAAAAAAGCATTTAATTTCTAGCTGTTCATCTCAATACCCCCAGTTCGAATCCTTACTTAAATTTTCCTGGAAGACTCACACATAGGTTCCAGCAGAACCAGCAGAAGCCTAAGCAAGGGATATCACATCACAAAGCACCTACATTCCTTTCTGTACCATGTTCATACATGTAAATAAATATTAGCACTCAGCTGAATTTTTGTCTTTGACTATAAGCTTCCAAGATTAGGAATTACGTGTCCACCATGTGTCTCAGTGCAACTGTGACCCACAGCAGCTGTTTCTAGAGATCCCAGTCGACTTACATTATTGACCAGACTTAGGCCTGTCTAGAACATTGTCAACTGCAAGTCCTTCGCAAATACTGACAGAGAAGGCTGAGGCATTGCCAAAACCTAAAAATATTTGGACTTCTGATACATGGCCTAACAAAGAAAACCAAATGAAGCCTGAAACTCTGAAGAGATTACATGCTGTTCATGAAGAGGGATGTCTCAGTCTCCACTCATGACTCTGAGAGGTTCTAAAATCAGATACTTCCATTAACAGATTGCTTAAATAGCACTTGCTGAGCTGTCCAACAGCTTCAAAAACATCTAGTGGAGTCTGAACAGATCACTGGTACACCTTCATATAGGATAGTCAGCTGGATGTGACCGACCCACAATAAAGCTTATTGCTTTCAAGTTGTGAGCCCAGAGTCTGCACTGAAGTGAATTCCACTTTAAGACAATCAGTAGTCCTCTAAGAATGGACAGAAACCCAGGAAATGCAAACCGAGGCTTTTTCAAGAGAGATTCAAAACTGAACAGCAACTAGACAAAATACCTTTAATTTATGAAGCCCTTCTTTAACAGCATCAGCGATAGCCACAGCACCCTTTGAACGCACCAGGCAGTCGCCAAAGTTGATCACTTCAATCTGGCGAAGCGCCTTCAGCGTCTGCAAGACAGCACAAATTTGAAAGTACAGACTGCACGTAAACAAACGTCCTATCAGTCCTGGAAGGTCATCTTTCCCACCGCAGTGTGGCATGTGGCTCCACCAACCCAGAGGTGCTAACATTAACTATATTCAAGAAGACTGGGAGACAGAAGACAAATCCAAAACAACAGCTTAGAACAACTCACCTCTGCCATGGCTACAGCTCCTTTCTCTGTAAAGGTGTTGTCGTTCAAGTTTATAACCTTAAGTAGAGGGTTGATAGCAAAGGTCTGGGCCAGTGCCGTGATGCCAGGATGGTTAATTCCATTTTGTGGCATATGGACCTCTTCTAGAGTCCCAATGATCTGGGAAAAGATGCAGATGAAAAAACACTGTTAGGAGACACACTTCAACTCAAGATTATAGTGCTCTACTGTAGGATTTGCTTAAGATTATTTTTTTCCAACTCAAACCTCCCTTAGCTCTTCTACATAAATTATTTGCTAGTACTTATGTCACAAACCTAAATGAAATTGCTGGCTCATGGCAAGTACCAGATTAACACAAAGCCCTGAGTCACAACTATCACCTTCCTCATGTTCCTGCTCTAGATATCCTAAAGCAAGACTTCTTCACCTGTAGTTCAACACAGAAATAGATCAAGCAACCTCACTGGGCACAGTATTTTTCTAATTAAGATCTGCATTTTGCCCTGACTGCAGAAGCAAATCTGTAAAAAAATTAGTCTGAACACAGTTTATGGACTAAACAGCATGTCACGAAACACAGTAATGAATCCCTTTCTGGTAGTGCCATTCAGTCTGAATTCCTTGTGAATCACTTTGTCTCTCAGGTATTTAAGAAGTCATTTTTACCATGATTACCGGTTAGTCAAAAACCACATCCAGCCAGCTCTTCACAAAAAGAACCTATAGCCTGAAATATCATTGTAAACATACCTTACACTATGCATCATAATTCAGAAGTCAATTTAGCAGCAATGGAGGAGAGAAAGGTGGTCACAACCAGTGATTTCTCTTCCTCCAATAAAAGTGCAAGTTGGCCTGTGACAGCTTAAGAAAGCTAGGCATCATGTCAAACCCTCACAGGATGATCCTAGCAAAAACATTCGGTTGTTCTCACCAGATAATTGAACAGTTCGGCAAAGAAGCACTCAAGAGGCCAGCTGGTACACCTGCCACAGTGCCAGACAACCTCCATTAGCACAGAGAGAAGGAATAGGACTACTGTTAAATTACTCTCCCTGGAGTTACTACACAGCTAGTATTTATATGTGCTTGGCAACTTCGGTCACGGAAACATTCAGCCATCAAGTCTAGACGCAGTTGCTGAAGACCTCAGTTTCAGCAGCAAACAATATCACGACTTTATTGAACCAACAACCAGCCCCCTGCCTCCAAGCTGAGGTAAGCTCTGTGTGCATTAGCTTTAACATTAGCAATTAAGCACGCCTTGCTTCAATTTGCTATCAAGAAATTCTGGTTTGGTACTTACCCCAAAGGCTTCAGCCAGGGCAGTGGCACCATCATTCTCCAGACGATTTCTACCAGCCACAAATATTTTTAAAGCAAGAGGCTTGCCCTGGGCACTTGATTTCCTGTGACACCCTTTCAGAGCGGCTGCTAATATCTAAAAATAAAACAAGCGGTTTCTACTACCTCAGCATCTCGTTCTGGAGAAATCCAAGTGTGGTTTGTATACCCAGCTCTCAAGAAATACTTGAGTCACCACTGACATGAACCTGCTTTTATAGTAGGGTATATAACAAAAATGTAACTGCATGCTACTGTCTTAGGCAAGAAGTAATAATTTCACAACATTAAAATACAGCAACCCCATTAGGAACATCTGATTCTTAAAAAGGCAAACAAACATCCATGATCTCATTGATAATGGTTTTCTGTTCCATCCAACAGGAGTCCCTTCAACGCTAGGCTTGATAGCCCTGTTCTCTCAACTCCAAGGCTAACAGCTCTCTTGACATGGAATCTAATGTTTAGGATAGAACTGTTTTCCTACCCTGGAGAAACAGACAAGTTTTTAATAATTCAGAAATTTATCTACGAAAACATGTAAAGGGAAGCGATCTTGACTGGAGAAATAGGACAATGAGAATGTCATTAAGTTTAAGGAGAAATTCACGTCCTGCAAATGGGGACAAAAAACCCCACATTCACCAGCATAAGCTGGGGGTCAACTGGGGGCAAAACAGCTTGGCAGAGAAGAACCTAGGAGTCCCAATGGGTGAGAAGTTGACTATGAGCTGGCAATATGAACTTGCAGCAAAGTCAGTCTGCTGGGCTGCCTTGGAGAAAGCATTGTCAGCAGGTCAAGGGAAGCAACTCTTCTCTACTACTCAGCCCTGTGAAAAGCATCCGAGTATCAGGTTTGGTTCCAGGCTCCTACATGGACATACCAGATCGAGTCCTGCAAAAGGCCTCAAAGATAATTAAGGAATCGGAGAATTTTATATAGTGAGAGAATGCTGAGAGCTGGGCTTATTAAAGCTGGAGAAGAGAAGGCTCTGGGGGAGATCTTATTCATGTGTAAGAACAGCCAGAATAACGGAACAGAAGGAGAAGGTGGTGTAAAGAAGGCAGAGCCAGAAACAAATGCACACAAACTGATGCAGAGAAAATTCTATTTAAACACAAGAAAAACTGAGGGTTGTTAAACACTGGGATAGGCCATCCAGAGAGCCATGAAATCTCCATCCTTTGAGATATTCAAAACCTGTCTAGACAGAGCCCTGAGCAACCTGGTCTAGTTGCCCTGAGCAGGGGAGTTGAACTAGACAACCACTAAAGATTTCTTCCAACCTCAACCATTCTGTCATTCTGTGCAGGGCGGTCTGGAGCCAAGTTCTGGCTCTGACCACATTCCCAAAAAGCAGACAAGCCTTACCTTGCCACCACCAATGCCCATGCCACAGTTATTGAGCTTGAGTTCCTGTAGGGTATAGCATGCAGGGCTCTTCAGTAGCGCCTCAAAGCCCCGCACACCGTCTGGCCCAAAGGCATTGTCACTCAGGTCCAGTTCCACCAGCTGGGCTCCAGCAGTGATGAGTGCATCCCCCAAAGAGATCTGGAAGGAAACAGATGGCAGTGGGTGGGAGGGAGGGAGCAGACAACTTTCAGTGACAGCATCACTGCAGTGCCTAGGTACAACAGTGATGCTGCAAAAAAAAAAAAAAAAGATCCATTTTGAAGACAAATGGCAGAGCTGCATGGGGAATAAAACTTTACAGCTAAAACCAGAGAAGTTTTGCAAATTAAGCTAAAGATAACTTCTGGATAACCACCCTGTGGTTATCCCATCCCCTTAGGCTAAATATATATTTTTCAAAGTGAATTTTCCCCTCTACACTGCTAAAAACATTGGTTTCATTCTGTTGATTTTATCATGTTGTTGCTTCACAGGACTCAAGGAGGCGGGGAGGTCTGTAATGCTCTTAGAAGAAATGGCCACATGCTTTTATTTAGAAAGCTTGATTCCCATTCTGTCTATTGGATGATGAAGATATTTTCCCCAGTGACAAGCTTCTTTACTAGCATGGACTTGCATTTGGCCTTTTATCAGCTCATACAGAAGGAGTAAAAAATAATTGCTCACCTATTCCAAGACATTCCATGTTAACAATTTAGAGAAAGATCAGCTCAGTACTAAAAAAAACTCCCACAAAAAACATGAGAGGTGAGAGAAGTTATATTAGTCAGAAGTCTCAGATCTAGTTTTTACTTACCAAAGCAGGAGGGATCTCAGACCTTACTCTCCCTGTGAACATGTCACTCCAATGACACCTCTAAAATAAGAAACGCACAGATAGAAACCATTAAAATATTTAGGACAACAGAATTGTACAGAGGTTTATACATACAATCCACATTACATCACTGGGGAAGGCTTAATACCATCTGCCTTCCCTTGGGCTTGTCATTTAATTGTACTAATTTGCTGCAAGAACTAACATCACAATTACTTCACTTGCAAGGACATAAAGCCTCTGAAATGGACACTGTAAAAAACAGTATACAATAATTCTTGCTTGCATTCAAGATGGAATTATCCTCTGCTGAGAAAATTAGCACAGGAAAAAAGCAGCAGGAAACTGAAGGATACATTAGGAATGCGGATTTTGCTAAGGCACGGAGCTCAACAATCTGGACTTGCTTGAAAAGCCAAACTTGCATGATTAATGTGAACCTATGTTTCATATTCCTCTCCTGCAAAGGACAGTGCCTCTAGCAGCACAGCATCCTAGCATTTAGCTACAACAGTAGCTGGGAAAAACAGTTTGGACACAGAAAAATCTCCTGGTGCATTTCCTCCATTATTTCTTCCCTATTCAAGCAACCTCTGAATACTCAGTTTTTTAGGTCTGATCATTCTCCAGATGATTTAACCCAACTTTTCCATTAGAACTTCAGTTCTGTTGCCACACGTGTTTGGTTTGTAGATGCTTCCTCCGCAGAGAGGCTCTTCCTCGCCCAGCTTCCCGGCTTGAAGACTGGAAGCCTTCTGAACAGGAACAGTTAAGAATGCAGAAAGCATTCCTAAAGTCCCCAGGTTCTGCCATATTTTCATATGGTTGCTCTTCCTACTGGAAGAACCACGAAGCAAGCTTTGGGGCTAACTCAAGCCAAGCTACTGCAGGAAGAGTGTAGATATGCCTTCAGTATTCTTATGTTACTTCTTCCCCTTCACCACCACCTGCATGAGGATCTCACCTTGAGCTCCGATTTCTTCTCCAAGGCTTTGGCGATAACCTTTGCTGCCTCCACACCCACTGTGTTGCCTTCCAGGCACAATGCTTCCAGGCCATCAAATTCCTCAATTTGCTTGATCACTTCCTCAGCTGCAAAAAGCAGACAGTCTTATTGGCCTTTTAACTATTGTTTCAAGTATCACAGTAACACTCTGATGCAGCAATACTTGCTCAACTCTACCTGTAGTGGAAACAGCTGAGCAACACTTCCTGAAAAAATCCTGAAACAGCAATGGAGAACAGCTAAAGTGTCAGGTCACCAGAAAGAACATTCTCCAGTCTCCACCTTGCCTTTTTATAATTTATTTCTAGTTATATTCTCCGATAGTCCTTCTATTTGCAAGAGTAAGCTTCGTTACTTATAAGAAAGATTCCTCTGCCATTCAGCATATAGTTTAGAAGCTGGATTGCATGCACCTACAAAGATACAAGAACTAAGGAGCTGATAGGGATTGGTGCCACATCAACAGGAAGAAGTTTCCATTGACTGACAAAAGTAGATGCTTGTTTAGCAAATATGTCAGGGTGGAATAATTCAACTCTAGAGTAATCCTATGCAAGACACAGGAGCAGCTTGCAGACTCTCTCCTGTCACTGGGTGCTTGCTATCATTCCCAGGCTCCAAAGCCTTTCCCCATAACATCTTCCCTCAGTGCCTTTGCACTACACTGAAATCTTTTACAGGGAGGATGCTGAAAGAGGTTGCCCAGAGAGATGGCAGAAACTCCATCCCCATAAGATTAGGTTGGACAGGGCTCTGAGCAACTTCCTGTAGTTGACAATGTCCCAACTCACTGCAGGGGCTGTTGGACTAGATGACCTCTAAAGGTCCCTTCCAATCCAAACCATTCTACGACTCAATGATACCAAAATGACATATAAAAAAAAAAAAATCACCTATGGAAGCAGTAAAAAAGGTACGTGTCACAGCAAATAACTTCTTTGAAGAACATGTCATTTCTTGATGTGGTGGAAATGTTGATTTAAAGATATACATATTTTCCAGATATTTCCTACATTATCAGCCACTGCAAGACATTTTTAATTTGGAAACACACAAACACTACCAAGAGAAATTCTGCGGAAAAAAAAAAAACAAACAACAAGAGTCTACCCCATTGATCAGAATTTGGAAAGAAACTGGACTATTGCAGTGGACTAGCCATCAGCCCATTCCTCTGTGCATGGCTCTTTGAAGCATCTACTTGTTCCAAGAGCTACCATCCACTTGCTTACTGTTCTTAAAAGCAGCCCTGACTTCTAATGCACGGTGACTGTCAAATGCACTTGAGAGAACACTAAGACGACAAGAATTACACACCAGGGAGCCAAACCTCAATTTCCCCAGCTGTAGCATTGCCAGGACACCAGGTTAAAGCAGGGTACAGGAAGGGAAGGAAGTATGTCTGTCACAAGCAGCTGCAGCTGAAAGACCCTTCCATCACACCTAACACTACAATAACCTAGCCGTGCAGGATTAGCAGGAGGTTTACCACAAGAGTTTAGAATTTCAGTGGGACACTTCCCAAACACAAGGGTGTTTTCTCTTACCGTCTTCAGCTGTATTGAGTTTAAGGCTCTGGCCTTTGAAACTCAACTGTCCACCACCCACTTTGGTTTTGGCGAGTGACTCTGCAAGCTTAGTGATGTCTTCTGACGCCATTTTTCTGCTTTTCCAAATGTAAAGAGCTGTCAAAAGAAACTGTCAACATCAAGAAAGCAAACTACAATATATAATCTGTATAAATAATCACATTTATTTGAATACTAACGTGGGTTTTTTCCCCGAGATTCTTACTGAGCTTTCAGTGTTATTAGCATTTTCCCTATAGCTCACTTCTGACAACTAGACCAGATTAATATTGCAAAGCCAACCAGTCAGATGGTGTTGATTCTCCCAGTACTGACAAGACTTGGGTTTTGATGAAGTTGTTACCCTTCGTAAATAACCAGTAGCTAAAACTATGGATTAAGGCCACATTAAGACATTACTTTGCGTAACACTTTTACAATTAAAACACAATATTCCTCACTCCCCAAAACCCACCCTTTAACTATACACACTGCTCTGGTGGGTGGGCTGGACTAGATGATCTTTTGAGGTCCCTTCCAACCCCTAACATTCTGTGATTCTGTGATTGCCTCTGTTCTCAAAGCAAGCTAGAGTGAACACAACTGTTTTTCCTTTTCAGTGATATGCCCAGCAGTGTCCATGTCAGCAGAGTTCTAGAAACACTGAGCTGCTGAAAACATCACGTGTGTTGCACACAAAAATTTCTCTGAGGTTTATCTCTTTCTTTTCAGGTGTCTCACAGGGATTTATCACATACATTAAACATCTTACACTGATGACAGATTAGCAAACATTCTGCGTGAAGCACAAGTTTGAAGCTAGCCATGCCTAGTAGCATCTGCATGCCATTATTTAAGGAGTATCAGTCACTGCGTGAAGTAACTGGCCTCCCTTCATAAATGGAGCATGTTTCTTACCCCAGCACCTTTGCTGGAATAGAAGACCACACACAAAGAGTGCTCAGAAGCAACATGCTTATTAAAAACACTTCTGGTGTCAGTAGACAGGTTCATTTCTACAACAGAAAAGTGGCTCCCTTCTGGTCTTGTCTGACTTAGAAGTGGCCCTACACTCTTGCGGCTCTTTGCTAAACGGAATCTGTACACACACCCTTTTCTCCTGATACCTAGCTACAAAGTATTTGCCTTCAGCTTCCCCGAAGTATGGCTTCTCTTCAACTTTCATGAACTTTAGTGTTGTTTTTGGACGTGGGTGAAAAAACATCCCCAAGGCTGATCAACACCACTCTTCTAGGATGACCATCCTCTCACACAGGTACTGCCAGTAGGAAGACGCTCACATAACCTACTGCACCCCTGCCAGGCCACAAAGACACCAGACTGACGGACATTCCCAACCTCTACCAATCCAACACTGAAGAGGAAGAAAGGGAGGACATCCTCCAACCCGCGAAGGCTTTACCAGGCAGGAATAAAAGTTAAAATCTGAAGACGTCAGTCTGTTCACCTAGTCCAATTTTTAACTTTACTTTTAAACACCTCACCATTCTCTTGTTAAAAAAATTAGTTCTATTCTACTATGATACTCTTCTACAAAGGTGTACTCACTCCCTTTTAGCTTCCCCTTCCATACAGGCTACTTCCTAATTTCAACATATTAACTACATCATCGCATCCTGATGCACGTTTTATTGCAAATATGTCAGCCACACCCACTCACCAACCTACCAGAGATCTCTTCACCGCTGGTTGTTCTGCAGGGTAACCCTTTAAAAAAAAAAAAAAGAAATATTGAGGAGGTAACACGTTTAGCAAATAAAACCAAGATCTGGAAATGCCTCAAGAGAGGCTTCCTCGTTACCGTACGATGCAGCAAAAAGAAAAAATAAATTAGTTTGGCCGAACGTTTTATTGACACC